TCCCGCAGGGCCCCGCCCCGCCCCCCGCCAGCGCCGGCCTATCACCGCGCCTAGCGTCGCTTGGCCCGCCCACCTCGGCCACGCCCCCAAGTGGGCGTGGTTCAGGCGCGCCCCTCCCGGAGTCGGCTGAAGTCTGGTCCTGCCTGACCCGCAGAGCCGTGGTCGCTCAGGCTTCGGCACCCCGCGGGCCGGGCGGAGACGAGTGAGGGTGGGCGCTGATGGGGACCAGCGACGCCTAACTCGCGCTGCCTCCCTCCCCGTCCTCCGCGCCGCTCCTTGCAGTCCAGGCGCTGCAGAACGCCAGGCAGTGCGAAGCCCCGGTCACTGGGAAGCCCACGCGGACAGGCGACCTAGGAGGCAGCAGGTGTCCCCGTGGGAGCCGCCTCCACGTCCACGCGGGGAGCGGGGAGACGGAGCGCGCGACCTGGAGAGAGGGCAGGGGACGAGCGACGCAGGGACAGCCGCGCGGGGCACGCGCAGTGCAGGTGGGGAAAGCGAGACCAGGCGGCCTTGGCCGAGGTGCCCAACTGGAGGCAACTAGCACACACTGTCCTTTGGAAGATGATACTCCTGGGTCCCTGTCCCCTCAGCCTCTGCACCCCTCGGCGGCGTGGCGACACAGTCCCCAGCAAGGTGACACGCTTCCCAGAGGTGACACACTCCTGTGAGATGGCACACTCCTGAGGTGACACTCACCTGTAGCGACATTCTCCCGAGTGACACACTACCTTACAAGGTAACATACCTGAGGTGATACACTCGCCTGTGAGGTAACACTCTTCGGGGTGACATGCACTCCTGTGCGGTGACTCATTTCCCAGAGGTGACACACTCCCCCCAAGTAGCACACTCTTCTGTGAGGCGACATGCTACTCTGAGGTGGCACATTTACCTGCGAGGTCAGGGATCAAGTCTAGGCTGATGGTGTCCCTCCAGGCTGGACACTGGTCCCGCGATCCTGTGACCTGCAGGACATGCCATCCTCACATAGGCCCTCCTTTCGCCCTTGTCCTTACCTTTAACTCCTAAGACTTAAAGTGAGCGTCCTGGTCCTCCCTGGGGCTTTGCTGTCCCCCTATGACCTTAAAGGAGAGAGGTACCCCCAACCACACTTACCCCACCAGCCCCTCCAGCTCCTCCCTGCACGGGAGCCTAGCTCGGCTTTGATTTCCTTGGGGAGTACAGTAGCAAGTCTCCTGGCTGGAGCAAAGATGAAAAACAAAACAAAACAAAAAAGCCCAAACAAAACATGGCCACATAGTGTTTGTGTGTAAAGAGAAACCTTAAATGGTAGGTCTTTCTCATGTGTATTTCAAGTTGGAAGTAAATTCACACCCTTGAAAACACTGAATGTTTTTGTGCAGACACACAACAGAAAGAGACTGCTCCACTGAATCCATTCCTAGCTACAGCTTTCCTTTTGTCTTACTTTTCTTCCTTCCTTCTGAGGAAGCGAGTTTGGGCAGACACAGCAGGCCCTAACCAGCTTGGCCTTTTGAGCTAGGACTGCAGCACAGACAAAGCGAGCATTGTTTTCAGAAATGAGGCAGGTGGGCTCCCAAAGGTGACCTTTCAGATACCTGGGTAGCAGTGGCCTCTTCTTGCTTACGCAGAGCCCTGAGCCAGATAAGCAGGAGAGTAGGATCTGGTAGCAAGGAGGAAATAAAGGCGGCTGGATCCTTGAGGCTCCCATTATGCCCACTTTTTTTTTTCTTTTTGTCTTTTTGAGGCAGGGTCTCACCATGCAGCTCACTTTGTAGCCCAGGCTGGTCTCAAACTCACAACAATCTTCCTGCCTCAGCCTCCCTAGTGCTGGGATTATAGGGGTGCACTACCATGCCCACTTTATGTCCACTCCTTGAACTAGAAAATCTCTAGTTAAGAAAATCACAGTATCCAGGCATAATGGCACAGGCCTGTAATCCCAGCACATGATTATGTTCTTAAGTGATTAAAAGACATCAACTACATAGATTTTTCTGTCAAGCTTATATGCCTGTTTTAATCTCAGGAAGATTTCATTTCTGTTTCTAATGCATTGTGGAATTCTTTTTCCATTCAATCTAATACTTGAGTTTTAAGCGTTTTTTGTGTGCAAAACAATGTGATGAGATGCATTGAAAATACCTGCAGCTATATTCTTTCCCTTGTTTAGTTTATAATAAATGCAGTTCATGCCTGTGTAAGTCACAGATGTACATACCCTGAGACAGATGGTGTAGAAACAAGGGAAAAGCAGGCACACAGCTTGCTAAGTACATGACAGCAAGAACCACAGAGAGAATGTACAGAAGCGGGTCTGCCAAGACTCAGCTGTGTCAATGCTAACTAGAGGAAAGCCATGTTTGTTTAGATGACGAAAACCTGACAGGAAGTTCAGGAACAGAGACACAGGGCACTTCCCTGCCCTTCAGGGTATGCATGCCCGGAAGCTTGCTGGACAGAAATCGTCCTGTCCCCATCCTGGCCTCCGTCAGAATCCACATTCCTGCGTAAGTCACAGATACACATATCTTGAGAGATAGATGGTGTAGAGACAGATTCAGTCTTAGGATGCAGATAGTGGGAGAGAAAAAAGAGTAAGTTCTAAATGTAACAGTCAGCATAATTTGTATCACCTGCATGCTTCTTCATCCCTAATTCCTACTGACTTTTAAAACCTCTGTTGGTATTCATAAAGAAACTGTATGATCCTTGGCCAGGTGGTGCATGCCTGTGATCCTAGCACTCCGAGGGGCTGAGACAAGAGGATCCCAAGTTCAAGGCCAGACTAGGTAACTTGGTGATTTAGTGAGTCCCTGTGTCAAATAAGAAATAAGCGGGCTGGGGAGATGGCTCAGTAGAATAAGCACTTGCCTGGCAAGCGGAAGGGCCTGAGTTCAATCCCCGGTCCCACCAAAAAAAAAGAAAGAAAGAAAGAAATAAGCAAAGGCTACAGATGTACCTCAGTGGGAGGACTCTGGGTTCAATTCCCAGTAACACACACACACACACACACACACACACACACACACGCACACACCAAGCGATAACAACATTATTATAGAATATGTCTAGAAGTCACCCCACAACCTGATTGCTCCTAGGTGGGACTTTTGACTTTTGGAAGAGGCTGGACATGGGATCCTAGAGCTGAACATGGTTAGGAGATGGGGCCTGGCTGGAGGAGACGGGTCAGTAGGGTGTGACCTTGAAGATTGGGTCTCCCTTCCCTCCTCCTCCCACCTCTCTCTGCTTCCTGTCTGCCTAAAGTCCCAGCTGCTTTCCCTCCTCCTTTCCCCCTGCCCTGCTGTTTCTTCTTTGGAGTTGGCTGACCATGGGTTTGAAATGTGAAAATAAACACCTCCTCCTTTAAGTTGTGGCTGCTGGGAGCTGTGTTCTAGAGACCAGGAGAATGACTGAGACAGACAGATGTGCCAGCTATGCCCCAGAAAATCCTTAGATGCTGCAGCTCACCATGTCCCCGCCCTCCAGCCCAGTGCATATGTTTGGAAGGCTTTGGTTAAAATGTGAGCTAAATCCTTCTCTTGTGTCTGCTTTCGAGCTGTCCCTCTTCCCAGCTGGTGTTAGTCAGCTTTTCCTGTGGCTAGTACAAGCACCCACAACTTAAAGGAGGAGAAGTTTGACCTGGCTTGCGTTTCAGGGTAACTGGGCCTAAGGTTGGCTGCTTCAAGTGGAAACATGCGGGGAAGTGCAGTGGAGCAAAGCCCCTGCGCTACAGCGGCTGGAAAGCAGGGCAGGGGAACGGAGTCGGGAGGAAGGGACGAGCGGCTAGACGCCATCCGCGCTCCTGCATCCCTGGCTGTGTTAGTGATACATTGTGTCAACTTGGCTGAATCAGCTTCGGCAGTTCTCAGCATGGGGGCCTCGCCCTGCAGGTGGGCAGGAAGCTGCCCTGCCTGGTTTCCTGCCCTCCCGCCTGGCTTCCATGGAGAAGTCTCAGTCTTCGGGGGAGCTTGGTCTTCGTTGCCGGATCTGCGCCTGTCTTGGCAGTCAGCGCAGAAGGAAGAGAGAGGCTGGATGGACGCCGCTGCTGCTCCTCCTCTGCTCTTCATTGTTCTCTGCCGCATGAGCTGCTGCCGTTTGCCTTGGAGCTCGTGGAATATGGACTGAACCCTCCAATAACTGTGAGTTAAATAAACCTTTCCTTCCTTCATTTTGAGTGTCGGGTATTTGTCCCAGCAACGAGTAAAAAGTAACTAAGACACTGGCCATGTACACACATCCAAAAGAGTGCTCAACAACCCCCAATCTCCAGGGTGGACCCCAAAGCCAACCAAGTTGGCAGTGCATCCTAACTGCCACGTACAGTACAATAAGGGTGCCTCATATCTCAGTGGTCAACGAACAAAGGTACAAGAGCAGTAAGGACAGGCCAAGGAACTGAAGGCTTTGCTGGGGTCTCAGCAGGTGCTTCTGCACAGTG